CACGTCCCATGACCACGATGAGCATCCGCCGATGGAGAGCCTCCGCCGTTCACCGGCGAGGACGACACGTGGGAGGTCCTCTTCCTCCTCATCCGACGGCGAGGGGGTGGCGGCGGTCGCCAAGCGCCGTCGCTCCAGGTCCCCGTCTAGGGCCAGTAGCCGACGGCGCAGTCTCCTCAGCCGGGACCGTGACACCTGTAGCCCCCCAGTCGTTCAGCGTCGGTTGGATTACGGCGAGAGCGGCCACATCAGCCTGTCTGACGCAAGCAATGACGACAAATCAGACGCGGATTCGGACGATGCCAGCGTCTCCGATGGCGAGGGTGGCCACCCCGAGTCTCAGCAGGAGCAGCGCGACAGTCCACACTCACCGGGCAGCCAGGCCTGCGCGGATCTGGTGGCCGTCGCCGAGGCGGTTGAGTCGATGGAAGCACACCGGACTCTGTCTAGGGAAGGCCCTGCGTCGACAGCGGCGACGTCCGGCCCCTCTCCGTCAACCCAGTCCACGGCGGACACGTCGCGCCTGGCCACCTCCACCCCCTCAGGACGTGCTGTGGCAGCGGCCCGCAGCGCCTCCGCCGAGCTCTCCTGCTCACCTTTGAGGGCGCGGCTGTCAACGGTGACGGTGGTAGAGGTGTACTCCGCCAACGAGGAGAGCGCCATTCCTGACAACTGCCAATTCACTGCCTCGGAACGACCGAATGGGGACGTCCTCGTCGTCCACAACAAGGCCACCTCCGCGCTGGACTGGTCAGTCGAGGCACGCGCTGGCCATCCCGATGAGGGTGACGTGACGGACGACATTCGCCTGCAGGGCATCGTCCACACTGCAGAGGGATCGGCGGCGCTCTCCCCTATCCTCATCCACGGTTCTGAAGCATCCATGAGGAATATGACAACTGGAGAGGATGTGGTCCTGCCGGTTCTCTACAGACGTAAATATCTTTAATGACTTTGACTTGTGGCGCAGAGGCGCTCCCGTGAACACTCACGGCCCTGAGCCGTCCCGTGTATCGTGTGTACACCTGTTTTTTGTCTTTTTTTTCTGATTGTGATGTTTGTTCTTACGATTATTGGGCAGAGGCGCTCTCGTCCACACGAGCCGCCCTGCGCCGTCTTGTATATGGTATCTTGGTTTCTGTGTTACTTTGATGAATGGCAGAGGCGCCCATCCCAGACACGGGCCGCCCTGCGCGTGTCTTGTGTATGTCATGTGTTGCTTATTCTGAATAAAACTCGTAATGTAGTCATTGTAAAACAAATCCGATTTCATCATTGCGAATGAACTGCACCCCTTTCACCAATTCATAACGATCTACACAGTTGACGGAATTGTGGAAAGTCATAGCTAGAGATCTGACACGGGAAAAAATATAAACGTTAACTTCTCCGGCTGTATTTGGGTCACTTCAATGAATTACGTTCTACATGTCGTCACCTCCTTGCATCTTCAAAATGATCGTTTACCATTGCTCTGGTACACATGGAAGTAGAATTCACACCATCGTGGTATTAATGCACGAAAAAATGAAACCAACAATTTTAAAAGTTGCGCCGTAACCTGGCTCCGTAAGACGTCATTTTTTAAAAAGTTTATGGAGAATATTTAATGTTCTGTGAATTGAACCATGTCGACCAGAACTGCTTTCAGGTCGAGTACCTGTGTTTTTGCCTCCGAGTTAGTCAGAACTGAAGGTCAGTCAGTCGTGGGGGTTATACAAGCAATCTGGGATTTCCGAGGTAGAGGCTGTTCTGTACCGATTTGAATGTATCTAGGCTTGAATTGTTCAGGACAACAGCTCTCTACTGCACACCCAATCAGTCCTCAGTCGACGTACACTGAAGGGTGGGTTGGGCTTTGAGCGGAGACCAGGCCCGGGGCCCGTCCGAGATGGCTGGAGGGTAGGACGAGTAGCCAGACGGCTGTTGGGTCCCCTGTGGTTGGGCGGGTAGGCAACTTATGACACACGTGTGCGTGTGCAGTGGCCGGTCGTTCGCCCGGACCCCTGACTGCCGACCTCGGGTGTCTTAAGGGGGTTGAACAGGGGTTTCACTAAAGGGAAACACCCCAACGGTATACCTCGGTCATCTTTTCTTTTAACCACCTTGTACCATGAAGTGAAAAAAACGTGAAATGGCACGGACGTCGCAGAGAATGGACCAGCAATCTAGGATTTAATAGGTGGCGGAAGGGCGGGCCTGCTTGTTACCTTTGAATGTGTGATGTGTGTTAAATTTACCGAAAGTCTGTATATTTACCACACACCTGTAATTTTACGGCATTTTCTGGGTAATTTTTCTTAAATTTACTTGTAAACGAGAATACCGGAAAGTGAAAGTTACGAAAACACCAATTAACTGTCAGCTCAAAATGATGCATATTAAGTGGTTCGATGGCTCCCTGCAAAAGCATACGTTCTGTACGATACGCGTCTAAAACATACGTTATGTACGATACGTGTCTAAAACATACTATCCGTCCTTAGCTTTTTTGCAAGCATATTTTTGATAGCCTATTTACCAGATTTGCAGGCAAAAATTTATTGTTTTTATGGGCGGAATACATAGAGAGAAGATCGAACTTTCACCTGATACCGAGAAATGAATGTTTAATAACTTTCCTCCATTTCCAAACGGCTGCCGAAAATATGCTAGCGAAAACCAGCGAAAACGGATAGTATGTTTTAGAGACGTACCGTATAGATCGTATGGTTTAGACGCGTACCGTATAGAACGTATGTTTTTGCAAGGGGCCGTCGGGTTTACCATAGTCGCAAACAGTACGCAAATATATTGCTGTTTGAGCCTCATACTACGTTCAAAACATCATACACTTAAAGAATCTGTAAACTGTACATCGCGCAAATATTGGTACCACTATACCCCGCTTGTCAAAATCTAGTCGTTTAAAAAATAAAGTATGGTTTGAGAAAACGGCAGCTGCGGGAACGCAAAATCCCTGCTGCGTCCCTATATCCGCTGCTGCATCCCGCGAAAAAATTTCCAGATCCGGCTGTAAAGCCAAACCCGTGGCAGACGCTGCGGGTAGCTCGTAGCCTGGTGAATAAGGTAACGGGTTTCCAACGGGAAGGTCCGGGGTTCAACTTCACCAAAGGTAAAGTAATATTCGTTGTTTGTGATGTGTGTAATCTTGTATGGTGCTGATGAGGAAGTACAACTGTGAGCAGAACTACAATGTCCCACCAGAAACAAAAAGTTTTTTTTTTTTTTTTTTTTTTAGGAAACCATACTTGACAGCAAGAGTCTGTAAAAATTTTACAGACGAAATGTGAGAAAACAATTACAGATAATTAGCGGAATGTAAATTACAAGTGTTCTGTAATTTTACAGATTATGGTAAAATTACCATAGAAAGTCTTGGCAAAAAGTATACCCAGACTTTTCCTGTTAAATTTTCGTTTTTAGCAGATGATACTTCCAGTATCACTGCTTGTACAACAGCTAAATGGGTAGCGTTGTTCACGATGGCCAAGGTCCAGTATTTTCAACAATAGTCCTTTTGTGACGATGGTCACCAAGGCTCATAACCCCTTTAAATAATATTATAGTTAGGAGGAGTGGGGTCAGATGGGTGTCTCCCCAGCATTGAAATATAGATGTGTATCCCATAATTTTTAGGGGGACTTACCCTTTGACGGGCGCCAATCGGACAGTCCGACAAGAGGTACCCGGCGTCAATCGGGCGGGAGGTCTAGGGCGCCATTCGGACTGTCGGACTCGGACTAAAGTTGGACTGATATACGTTTTACATCTACATTCGAATTTCAAGCGTTGTGGAACATAAATGGAGACATCTGAAACTGTCCGAAACACATTAATCAGTGTAAAGACGGAGCAAGTCCGCTTCGGATGTCTTGCGGAGGTGTTCGTTTTCACAAGGTTGGTACCTCCTTTAACCATGCATATTGTGAGAGATGACTTTGCCAGTCTATAACACAACCCTGTTTCTGTTTCAGATGGAGCAATTGCAAGGGGAGGCCGCTTTCGCCGAGCCTCTTCCCTATGCGCTAAGCTGGCTTGATTGCAGGGTCTGGGACGAATGTGGGTCTGTGCATCCACCCAAATGTGGCATATGGTTTGTCCTGGTTGGAATCCTAGAAGGCCAAATGAGTCCCAAATACATCTACTAGGTGCTGACAACAAACAGCGCAGAAGTATCGACTGATATTGTACTGTGATAAAGTGAGTCTCATTCGTCTTCGGCATCAGAAGACCAATGTTCAGACGAAGACTCACAACTCAATGAAGATGATACCAAGAAGCATATTTATCCTAAGACGAAGTTCAAAGTCATTATCCCACCTTCTCAGTGGGTAAATCTTGTTCCTCAAATGAGATCTTATAAAAAAAGATAAAGATCTACCGGTAAGCTGGATGTTTTAACCCTCCCAAAGATGCAGTGGCCTATTGATATCAGCAAACTAATCTGGCAATAACACGAACTACCATGCGCCTATGCCTTCGAGTCCGGGAGAGTTACAAAAAATCATAATGTATCACAGTACTTCATTACTGTAAAAGAGAGCTGCACATATTGTGGCGCAAATTTCGACGGCCATATTTTGCAGGAACCTTTACCTAACGAATCTGTGACTCTTATTTTGGAAGCTGAAGATACAAGACTAGACATAGAAGCCACAAAATGAACTTCAGTGCCAGCATCTAAAAAAAAATTCTCAGTGCAGCAAGACGCCAGGGACCGTACTGCAAGAGACTTTTGTGCATGGGCTATCTGGGCAAATACTGTTTATGAGTTCGTAAGCAGCACCTCCAAAGGAACTGCTGAATTATGCCAGATAGTGACTGAAAAGCAGGACGCAGTCACCATTGGTGCATGGATTGAATGTTGGCAGAGAAAAGGCGCGCTGCCTCCAAATGAAGTTGTATGTGATGGATCACCTGCGCTGCGCTGCTGACAACACTGAGAAAAATATTTAGATGCTGGCACTGAAGTTCATTTGACCGATCTGACCCGTTATCAGTCTACGAACGGTTTGGTTCCAAGCAACAAACAGTTTCATGTAAATGTCGAAACGGTTTCTTCCTCGACACGAAACGTGTTTGAGTAATGCATCCCAAAAATTTCAATGCGGCAACCGAACTCCCCTCAATCGTCACAACAGAGAGGGTTTGTTCGGGAATTTCTACGAATTTTTGAATGACGTAGTCAAAACGATTTACGAAGGTGCGCGCCTAAGTGTATTTGCCCCGCTGAAAATTCCGCCGGAAATTATTCCATGGAGTTCAAATCCCTTGAGTAATTTGGTTACATCCATGTAAAATTTTCCCTGAAACAGTGATTCCACGGGAAAGCAATAGAAGATTTTGATTCTAATTTCATATCATGAAAACATCTGTATGATGAATATAATTTATCTACAATTAATTTACATAAAATAAGTATGCAAGAAGATGTTCTACAAGCACAACAAGATATGGACAATGATGAGGAAGGGCATGAAGACAACAACATATTAACAAGAGAAGAGTTTATGCAGATAGCTGCAATGGGTCCTGCACAAGAAACAGAATATATAGAGTAAGAAAACAGAGACATTGATATGCAAAACAACTGGAATGAACTTTTAGAAAACATTTAAAATTTGGAACAAAAGAAGAAATCGAAACATTCATACAACGAATGAAGACTTTTGCACAAATTAATGAAAGAACACAACTTCCTGAATTCCAAAATTTAACATTGACTGATGAGCAACAACAAGAAATGGATGTTTTACAGCATCAATTGCAATCACTTTCTTCAGATGACAATTCTACAGTTACTGATATTCCAAGAAAAATTATAGTGCAAGGAAAAGCAGGTAAGTCTATAGCTAGCACAATTAGTAAAAATATTACTACAACAAATTGAATTTAAAATAAATGATGTCAATTTTATTTTTAGGAACAGGGAAAAGTGTACTGATAAAAAAAAAAACTGCAGCAGTACAGTCAAAATTTAAAAATTACTCAATTATTTGAATGGCACCAACCGGCATTGCAGCTATTAACATTGAAGGGTCAACTATTCAAAGCAACCGAAAAATATATCTACAGCAACTTTTTGCACCATTGAAAGGAGAAGTTGCAAGACAGTTTGAACAGTCAATGACTAATGTCAAATTTATAATTATTGACGAATGCAGTATGGCCAATGCTTCCATGCTATATTAGATACATAAACGGTGCCAGGAAGGAAAACAAAATTTTGAAGATGACTTTGGAAATTCAATTATTTATCTATTTGGAGACATCAAACAATTAGCGCTAGTCATGGGAACACCTATATACAGTGACAAACAACCACTTATAACAGACAAACAAGGAAAGGATTTATTTTGAAACTTTGACAAAGTAATTGAACTAAATCATGTAATGAGGCAATCAGATACAACTTTTTGGGACCTTCTTGACAATATCAGCACTGGGAATATTACAGAAGAGGATTATAAAATGATAAGTACACGATTTGTGTTAAATGCTCCCAGTTAAGAAAGAAATGAATATCACCAAGCCATTCATTTATTTTCTGAGAAGAAAGAAGTTTATGTATACAATTATGCAAAATTAGCTTCAATGAAAATACCAGGAACAAATAATTTAGAACCATTAGCAAAAATTCCTGCACAACATAATAATCAAACAGCTGAAAATGGAACAGAAGACCAAGCTAAAGGATTACAGAATTGCATTCATCTATGTAAAGGTGCATCTGTAATTTTAACAAACAATCTTTCGTTTCGCGATAACTTAACATTTGTCTCTCTGTTTCAGTTTGTTGCTGTGGCCGACCAGCCCTCGAAGAAAGATTCCCCTTCGGTGGAAGAGCCGCCAGCGGGCGTCGCCGACAAGATGCCGGCGCCGTCGAGCGCCGAGACCACGCCCTACGATGACGTCGACGCCCCCGCCAATGGTAATGGACTCCTGGCCGCCCCTGGGAAACGAAGAATCGCCCACCGCCCGACGGCTGTAGTGCCTACCGCCACCAAGAAAGTGAGTATCTGCTTAACTAGGTAGATGTACGCAAGACCACGTCTCGCGTAACAGGCTTCGCGATATCTCACGAAACACTGTTACGCTGCGACGCGCCTGGCATACATCTACCTAGGCCTGCGGCGCTGACGCCCGAGTCGGGCAAAAGGCAAAGTCGTAAATGGCCCTTCGGCCCCAAAAGTCACAAATTTTCTCTTCGGGGTTTCATTTTGACGAGTAACCCTACCAGAGACCCTCAAATATCTGAGACAAAACATCAAAATGATTTTGGGTCATTTTCGTGTGGAAAACTCCTTCTGGCGCCTAAACAGATAGAGCCAAACGGACGAAATTTTGTTCCAGAGATCTCTAATTTGCCGAGTTACCTATAAGAAAGATGTAAAAAGAAGAATTTTTCAAAGTAAGTTTTTTTCGCTCTTAGTTTTTGATTTTTTAAGCTCGTCAATTTTTGAGCTAGAGGGCTCAAAATCAATACAGCTCTTGCTATTTATGGTACAAAGTTACAATAAAAATTTGAGCCTCCTAGCTCAAACCGTTCCCCAGTTATCGTGCGTACAGACAGACAAACACACAGACACGAAATTTTTTGATCATCACTGGAGTAATAGGCTTCGCTAATCGCTCAGCCAATCATATTTTTCGACGGCTTGTGTTTGTTATTGAGTCTTATTCGTCCTTTGTTGCAGTCGGTGTTCGAGCGGCGTGGAGCCACCCCGCACCCCCCACCCAAACCCCTCAAAGAGTGGTAAGTAGAACAGACCTTCTATCCAAACGATGTGACAACGCCGCACGCTTAATTGTGATCAAAATTCAAAATTCTGGCCACGGTGTTTGATTTTTGTGACTATTACGCATCAATAAACACCGTGGCCAAAATTTCAAATATTGACCACAGTGAAGAGGTTGTCGCTGGACAAAAATAGCGATATTTGGGCGACTGTGCGAATATCTGCTTTGGATAAAACATTTGTGTTGTGGATTTTACAGAATGTAAAATTATGGTCTAATTGTACTTTTATTGTTTCAGTCTACTAAGGCATTGGCGGAGGCCCTTAAGAGGCGTCATCAGAAGAAGTAGTTTTTTTTTAAAATCATGCTTTATTTTATTTTTAAGATAAAAATCAACATTAAAATCATGTTCATCTCTCTTTATTGTTTTCTTTCAATACGCCTTATACTGTTACATCATGGAAAAGTTAACACGGACTTGGGTAACAAATTCAATAGACCCTATTCGGTCTCGGCTAAAAGAGAAGAAGACAGGAAACCCGACCGGAACCAGTTACGAAAAATAACGCTATTTTAACGTTTAAATGGCTTTGGAAGGTAGAAGCACAATCCACAATGTTTGTGACAGTTTTTAATGTCGGGTTTGCAAGTTTTCTCGCAATGAAATGGCAGGATAAAGGTACTGGTTCCGGTCGGGATTCCTGTTTTCTTCTCCCGGAGCCGAGACTGAATAGGGTCTATTGTCGAACGCTTCATTATCGGGGAAAATTTAAGTTGAACAACTCATTTAAAATACCTAGCTATATGTACGCCAGACCACATTTTGCGTAACAGGCTTCGCGATATTTCACGAAACACTGTTACGCTGCGACGCGCCTGGCGTACATCTAGCGAGGCCTGCGGCGCTGACACCCGAGACGGGGTAATAGGAGTGTATATACAATTATATACAAATGAAGGCTTTTCAACGATTTAATCGACCATTTGATCATTTTCACCTCATTTTTAGCCCGCCGTTCTGCTATGAAAAAGCTATCCAGCGGGCTTATGCAAACGACCTCGTGTCTGTGTGTCTGTATCTTTGTCTGTTCCACAAGGAGATGTGCTAGAGACTTCAAAATTTCAGGGGATCTCATGGTTCACTCCCACGAAACAAAACGCCTACGGCAAATCCTGCCAGCCACCCCTAAGGGGCTGAAAGAAGAAACCAGGAAAGATCAAAAAAGTTGGAAAAAATACTTTGTTTTACGATTTTCTAAGGGGTAACTTGTGAAAGTAGAGCCCTTTGGGCAAAAATTTCGTCCGTTTTGCTCTCTCTCTCACCGTTTGGGCGCTAGAGGGAGTTTCTCTCACAAAAGTGGCCCAAAAATAAATTCATCAATTTCCGAAAATATTGGATGGTCTCCGAAGGGGTAACGTGAAAGTAGAGCATTATGGGCGAAAATTTCGTCCGTTTTGCTCTATCTCTAACCGATTAGGCGCTAGAGGGTCTTTATAGACGAAAATAAGCTAAAAATTGCTGTAGTGAACTTTTACTTGTAGAGGAAGGCCTCTAATCGCAAAGAGCACCCTCCCCGCTTACAAAAGAAGTTTTTCTATGCAGAAGGGTGGGTTATAGTCACGGTGTGTCACCGTTACATTCCTTTCTCATGTCTAAGGGGCGAATTTTAATGACGACGGGTTTTAGCGAGCCGAAGGCCTGCTACATTATTTGATTATGTTCTTTAGAAAATTGCGTAAATGGAACGGTCGGGCCGCAGGCCCGAGTGTCGCCGCCGGCAGGCCACGCAAGCCCGGCGCAGCGAAGCGGAGCTGGCAACTCCGTTTGGCGGAAGGGCGGGCCTGCTTGTTGTCAAGAAATGCCCCCTAGCACCTAAACGGTACAAGATAGAGCCAAACGGACGAAATTTTCGCCCATAGGGCTATACCTTGACGGTCTCACGAAACACTGTTACGCTGCGACGCGCGTGGCGCACATATTAGTCCAAGAAAGTTAGGGTTTGAGGTGGAAAAATCGCTCACACTTTTCAGCCCGCCCTTCTGCTTTGAAAAAACTATCCAGCCGGCTTATGCAAACGACCTCCTGTCTGTCTGTGTGTCTGTCTGTCTGTCTGTTCCACAAGAAGGAGATGTGTTCGAGACTTTAAATTTTCAGGGGATCTTCAGGTTCACTCCCACAAAACAAAACGCCTACGGCAAATCCTGCCAGCCACCCCTAAGGGGCTGAAAGGGGGTATCGAAGAACACAGAAAAGGCCAAAAAAGTTGGAAAAAATACTTTTTAGGTATGATGTTGTAAGGGGTAACTTGTGAAAGTAGAGCCCTATGGGCGAAAATTTCGTCCGTTTTGCTCTATCTCTCACCGTTTGGGCGCTAGAGAGAGTTTCTCTCACAAAAGTGGCTCAAAAATTAAATTATTAATTCCCGAAAATATTGGATGGTCTCCTAAGGGGTAACTCGTCAAAGTAGAGTCCCCTTTGGACGAAAATTTCGTCCGTTTTGCTTTTGCTCTATCTCTAACCGTTTAGGCGCTAGAGGGTCTTCTTAGACGAAAATAAGCTAAAGATTGCCATAGTGAACAATAAGATGTAGAAAAAAGCCTAAAATCCGCAAAGTAGAAAGGAAACTCTCCCCCCACCCCCAAAAAACGTTTTCTAAGCAGAAGGGTGGGTTGTAGTCGCGGTGCTTCACCGTTACATCCCTTTCTCGAGTCTTTTGGGCAAACTCAAAGATGTCGCGCTACATTACTTGATTATGCTCTTTAGAAAACTGCGTAAATGAAACGGTCGGGCCGCAGGCCCGAGCGTCGCCGCCGGCAGGCCAAGCAGGCCCGGCACCTCCGCTCCGCTTCGCTGCTCCGGCAACTCCGTTAGGCGGAAGGGCGGACCTGCTTGTTTTCAACGGTTTTCGACTCATTAGGCCTTCCTTTACAACACGTCAAAATTCCCCCAAAATCCCCGCATTGGCATTTTTGTAGTACCCTGTGCAACATTTACTTAATTTTATGTATTTAAGCAAAAATTGAAAATCTGTTCTGTTCGCTCGGAATGGTTTCAAATTACAAGTAAGTTAGTTGAGATTTTAATGGCAAACAATTGACGATTCTTTCACGGGGGACAATTATTGTTGGCTAAGCTTGCGAAGCCTTTGCTGTGATGTGGGGTGCAGAGAACTCTTTGGTCGTGTGTCTGTCTGTC